GTCCTGAGTTCAGTCCTAGTTCAGTCCTGGTCTGATCCCGGGCTCAGTCCTGGTCTCAGTCCTGGTCTCAGTCCTGGTTTCAGTCCCAGTCTGGTCCCGGTTTGGTCCTGGTTCAGTCCGTATGCAGCGCAAAAGTCCGACATCGCAGTTTAAGCCACGGAAATGGGAAATGGTCGGGTCGTTATGATTTTTTTTTTCAATTTAAACACAAAATTGAAAACTGGAAAAACAAATCTTTATATGTTTTTTTCATTTTGGTTTTGGAGACAAATAATGAAGAAAATTGTTGTTCTTTTGTTTCCTTATTTTTGGTTTTATTTTAGAAAAACGAATGAACGAATGATACACAGATTCTTGTCTCCCAAAATCCGGTCCAGTTCTTGTAAAACAGACAGGTTACACGTCCACAGCCGCTTCGTTTGTTTGAGTCTTTAACCTCCTTGGATTTGACTCGCAGGATCTTTATTTTTCATTGACATTGGAGCCGGGCGCCTGTAGCTGCACTCGCGCATTTCTTTGGCATTCATTTTTTCCTTGAGTTTTCAGACTATTCTAAAACTTTTTTTGGTAGTTATTCCTAGTGTGTGCATTGTGTCACCATGGTAACTGATGAACATTCCTCCATAGGCAATGAGGCAGAACTCCCCCAGCGTGAAGTCTCTGCAGAGTATCGATATGACAAGTTTGTGGAGCTGATCCCAAACAAATAATGAAAAAAAATATATAAAATCCACATTCCTGCATCGACAGTTTCAAGACCACTTAAATTGCTCGTATATTTTAACAGATTTCTACAGACCCTTGGCTTCCATCTGAAATAAGACGACAAATTTAAGAATGTGAATGCATCTGATTACTTCACTAGTTAAAATATTTGACCATTGGGATTGAGGCTATTTCCTGTTTTCCTTAAGCCAGGGGAAACATATTAAAACAAGACAACAGACTCTTAAAGACCTAATATCTCATTTCTCTTTTCTGTTTTCTTTAGTACAGATATATTGAATAAGCAGCTCTTGAGGTCAGAAGAAGTTGAACAAGTCTGCTGCTGCTGTGGCGTCTGCGTCTAATTATAAAGCGTTTAATAGTCCGATAATCAGGAAGTTGTTGACAGCAAAACTCCGCTCTGTTCTAGACCTTATAAAGTCATCGGAGTTAATAATAGTTCAGAATGTATAAGGTAAGTGAGGAATAACTGTGGACCGCTGCAAACTGTTTAAAATGACACACAAAACCGGTATGTGAGTTGTTCACTCAAACAGAACATGCTCTGTTCCACCTTGTGATGTCATGTGGTAATAGAGGAAATGTTCCATAGTGTTTTTAAACTCCAAACACCTTCACTAGATTTATTTGGATCATTTCAGACCCGGAATTGGCAATTTCTGTTGAACTAAATGTAAATGACATGACATCACAAGGTGGAACGGAATGGAGGTTTTGAGTTTTGGAGATGTAGACAGACTAATAATAAAGGATTATTCAAACATATGTGAATTCAACAGAACACAACTCCAGTTTTTTTTGTTTTTAGTTTTTTTTTTTAGAAGGTTTCACAAGAATCCATTTTGTGTAATATAGGACCTTTAAGCCCAAGATATTTTCAAATCGATAATTCAATTCAGTTCATCTTTATTCCAGACTCATGGTCCATTTTTAAAAACAGACAAGGACAGTGACATTACAAAACTAGAAAAGCAGTCAGAGAGCGCAGACCTCCGCCAAGGACTACCCCCATTTTTTATATAAATTGCGATAAAATCAGTCTTCTGGATCAGATCCGGATCAGCCTTTGGAATATGAAAGAGGATCCCATTGTCCATCCCTGAGTCAAATTTCATGGGGTTTGGTCAATAATTAACCGAGATATTGAGAAACAAAATTTTTCTTCCGGATCACCCCCAAAATGAAATCAGTTCTTCCTTTTCACATTTCCAACAAATGCTGAAAATTTCATCAAAATCGGTCCATAACTTTTTGAGTTATGTTGCTAACAGACAGACAAACAAACAAACAAACAGACAAACGCCGGCAAAAACATAACCTCCTTGGCGAGGTAACAATAAACATTTATGTTTTTAAAAAGACAGCCACACCAGTGTCTCCACATGCTGGACTGACATTTTATTGCACTGAATCTCATATTTGTGAGTGACATTATTATTTCATTGTCTGATTTGTTGTTGACGCCATATTACAGTGCCTCCTGGTGGCCGCTCCAACATCACGTCTCTCAGTTAAACCCATGGAGGAGGAAGAGGAGGAGGAGGAAGAGGAGAGTGTGGGGTGTAGTTAGTTTTGGGGTTGTCATGGTGAATGAATGAGATGCAAAATGACCATGCGTAGTTTCAAAGTCAAGAAAAAAAGAGCAGAACACTGAATCCTCATGCCTTACCTGCCACTATGCTACCGTGTCCAGAGAGAACCGCGCTTTTTTCCAGGCACTCCTCTCCTTTTGTTTTGGAGTTATACTTGTGTGGGCTGGTTTTTCAACAGTAAGGAAGTTGATGTGCATTACTTATTTAAAGCCGCAGTATGTAATTTTTTTTGGGCCTACTTGTTTTTAGGGATGCACCAATCCATCTTTTCTGTTCCAATATTGATGCCGATACTCCGATATCTACTGATACTAAGGCAGAGACCTAAAATATTATTTCTTTCCTTTAAACACGAACGGTGGATGAAAAATGAAATCAGTTCTTCCTTTTCACATTTCCAACAAATGCTGAAAATTTCATCAAAATCGGTCCATAACTTTTTGAGTTATGTTGCTAACAGACAAACAAACAAACAAACAGACAAAACGCCGGCAAAAACATAACCTCCTTGGCCGAGGTAAAAATAAACATTTATGTTTTTAAAAAGACAGCCACACCAGTGTTCTCCACATGTTGGACTGATATTTTATTACACTGAATCTCATATTTGTGAGTGACATTATTATTTCATTGTCTGATTTGTTCAATCTGCAAATAAAACTGTACATTAAAGTTCTTGTGTTCACTCATGAAGTAACAAACACCTCAGTCGCACTCGTCCATCGTGGCCTCCTCAAAAGCACCGCAAACTGTCACTGTAAGTCTTTGCAAACTGACTTTTGTGTAATGAATCGAGAGGTGGGTTCTGTACAATATGATTTAAACCATTGTTTCCCAAAGAGGTGGTGACCTTCAGGTGGGTCACCAGAGATTTTTTTTTGTCACGATCTGCATGTGGGTTTGCAATATAGAGCTCGAACACGTGAGAGAGTGAGTGAGTCAGCCAATCCTATCTGCCTGCCCTGAACAAGTTCTCCTGCAGCTAAAGTTTAGAAATGTTTGCTCGGTTGTCCAAAAAGAAGGGTGATAAATCAGCAAAGGTCAGAGCGCTTCAGGATATTTATGGATCCTTTTATTGCTGCTTCAATGACTGGTTTTCTTTGTTTAAAACTTGAGTAATACTAATTGTTCAGAGACAATCACTCAGTCAACAATAAAATATCCCCATTCATGTTCAGTAATGCTCAAATCTAACTTTATTTTGTGATTTGTGAATAATATCTGTTGACTTGGGTCGTGAAGGTTTGTGACTGTTAACATATGTGTCCCCAGAAAAAAAGGTTGGGAAACACAGATTACACAACAGGAACCCTTACAGATTACAGATTACATACCCCAAAATGTAGTTTGTAACGTAATCCAATAAATTACTTAAAGTGAGTAATGTAATCTGAATATTTTGGATTACTTTGTTTGCTGTAAAGTAGTAAAGACCAGGAAATCTTCACATAAGATGTTTCGTCTGCTAAAAGAAAATAAAAAGGTCAGACTTTACTGAACCAAATTAAAAATATTATTGAGACACGGTCCTGTTTAAATCCTGTTTGAGACATAGTTTAGACCTGGTTTAGTCCTGGTTTAGTCCTGGTTTAGACCTGGTTTAGACCTGGTTTAGACCTGGGTTTGGACCTGGGTTTGAACATGGTTTAGACCTGGTTTAGACCTGGTTTAGACCTGGTTTAGACCTGGTTTGGACCTGGGTTTGGACCTGGTTTGGACCTGGTTTAGACCTGGTTTAGAGTTTGGTTTTGGACCTGGTTTAGACCTGGTTTGACCTGGGTTTAGACCTGGTTTTAGACTGGTTTAGTCCTGGTTTAGTCCTGGTTTAGACCTGGTTTGGACCTGGGTTTGGACCTAGTTTAGACCTGGTTTAGACTTGGTTTGGACCTGGGTTTTGACCTGGTTTGGACCTGGTTTAGACCTGGTTTGGTTTAGACCTGGTTTGGACCTGGTTTGGACCTGGTTTAGACCTGGTTTAGACCTGGGTTTAGACTTGGTTTAGACCTGGTTTAGTCCTGGTTTGGACCTGGTTTGGACCTGGTTTAGACCTGGTTTAGACCTGGTTTTAGACCTGGTTTAGACCTGGTTTAGACCTGGTTTAGACCTGGTTTGGACCTGGTTTTAGACCTGATTTAGTGTCCAGCAATGAGTGGAATTACGGGGAAAAAAAAAAAAAAAAGAGATATAATAACCCAAAATGTGAAAACAGGAAAATCCCTCTGTGTAATCCATTTATTTCAACCAAGTAACTGTAATCCAATTACCACTCACTGAAACAGTAACTGTAAAGGAATACAGTTACTCATAATTTGTACTCTGATTACGTAACTCCGGTACATGTAATCTGTTACTCCCCAACACTGTACATATTTCACTTTTGTCGTAACAGTCAACACAACATTCACAGGCAGAAGTCCAGATATCTCATGTCCTTGTTCTTTGGTCCTGTAGATCATGACCAGACTCTCGGTTGCATTATTCTTTATGTCATTCTCCACACCGTAAACTGAACAGATGTTGAGTAGCTGCTGGAGGCCACTTGTGCTCGGACTGAAAACGACCAAGTCATCTGCAAACATTTAATGATTTACAACAAGATTTCCAGCCATACAACCACTTTTCCATACTTTTGCTCCCAGCTCATATCTAATAATGCATTTTTTATTCTCTTTCTCTCCTCAGGACCCCCCACTCCAGACGATCTCCCCATCAGGCCTGCTGGACGCCGTATTACAGTGCCCCCTGGTGGCCGCTCCAACATCACGTCTCTCAGTTAAACCCATGGAGGAGGAAAGGAGGAGGAGGAAGAGGAGGAGTGTGGGGTGTAGTTAGTTTTGGGGGTTGTCATGGTGAATGAATGAGATGCAAAATGACCATGCGTAGTTTCAAAGTCAAAGAAAAAAGAGCAGAACACTGAATCCTCATGCCTTACCTGCCACTATGCTACCGTGTCCAGAGAGAACCGCGCTTTTTCCAGGCACTCCTCTCCTTTTGTTTTGGAGTTATACTTGTGTGGGCTGGTTTTTCAACAGTAAGGAAGTTGATGCGCATTACTTATTTAAAGCCGCAGTATGTAATTTTTTTGGGGCCTACTTGTTTTTAGGGATGCACCAATCCATTTTTTCTGTTCCAATATTGATGCCGATACTCCGATATCTACTGATACTAAGGCAAGACCTAAAATATTATTTCTTTCCTGTAAACACGAACGGTGGATGGTAAACAATGATGTGTTTTGTAACTGTTATTTACTACTTAAAGTCATTACAAACCAGTTTTGAAAAAATGCAAGTTCAATATTATTATATTCTAATATCACCTTTAGAATTAACGATCAATTATCGATTAATCATTAACGTTTTTATATTAAAATGATCATCATTATTATTACTATCTGCACTACTAATCTGCATAAATAAATTCAACTTTACGACATATAAACCGTAACGACTCTAGAGCCACATCAGCCCGTTTGACATTATAATGTGTTTAATTCAGTTTTGTTCAACTCTCACAGAAACAAAACTTAAAACCGCATCGCTAATTTGCATAAACTCAGCGAAGATAAAACTACAGCTCTTGTGTCGCTGATGCGGTTCAACTTCTGTCGGATTAAAAGACATGACTCAGGTGAATACAGGTTAGTGTGACCAGATTTGCGTTTGTCAAAACCAGGACACCGTACGGGGGGAGGGAGGTGGGGACTCGTCATCGACATTGAGCGACTCTCACCTGGTAAAACTTTTTCCCACTGGACACAGAAACATATGTGCTGCTTTATACACTGTGCACATGGACTCACACTTGTCCCCAACGCAACGGAAAGCGTGGAATTTCTTGTACAAATCATCGTTAAATACACATTTGTGCTTCGGTACGTTGCAGACTGACCCACTGTTTGTGTCTCGCTCCTTCTGATGCAGAGACACATGTACACACCTGTTTAGTCACGCTACACACAGCAACCTACATTCGGTTTGTCGATTAAAATTAACGTAATCGATGAAATTCTTAATGATCAATTATCGATTAATCGACTAATAATGCCCATCCCTAATCACCTTATTACACCAGTTTATCGACAAAAATGGGATATCGACTGAACTGACATACTGAACAGATGAAAAATGTCAATATCGGCGCCAGTATACGATACCAGTATACGATACCAGTATACAATACCAGTATACGATACCTGTATCATATTGGTGCATCCCTACTTCCATGGAGATGTCGTGCTTTTGTTATAATATCCCACAGTAAAGCTAAAATGTATCTATCTCCATGGAGAATGTTCTGAAGTGTAGAAGTGTGATCACAAACTTACATACTGTAACTTTAATAGTTAATAACACAAGTATCAAGCAATTTACACCACAAGTAGCCATTACAGTTTTTACAAATGAACTTGTTTCCATGGTGACACAAACAAAAAGACAAAAAGTCACAACATTATACTGGCACTATGTAGAGGACTACAATACTGCCATAACAATAAAATAATAATTATTCAAGCTTAGTAACATTACTATTACTGCTTTTACTTAATTAATAAAACATACATTTTTATTTTTGCTTTGCTTAAATATTTAGTTATATTAAAGCTGAACCCAGTTGCAATAAGATTTATTTTAGGAAACAGAATTCCTTTGGCTGACGACGTCTGAAAAGAATTTGGTTTTATTATTATTATTTTATTGCCAGTGGAAAAAGTGCATTGCTTTCTCTCGTGGACACATGTTTTCCTCTCTGGCTTTTTGCAGCGTTGCCCCTCTCTTCAGTAGCTCGCTCTCTGTCGCCCCCTCTCTTCAGTAGCTCTCTCTGTCTCTGTCTCTGTCTGTCTGTCGTTTCTGCCAAACTCAACACTCTAGACTCCCACACTAGTCATCCAGTCATGCAGTACCTTTGGATTAGCTCTAGATGGCGTTGTACATACAGTAATTGTAATGTAGCTTTGTGAAGACTGTTTCTGGGGTTTGGGACCAAGAAAGAAGCCAGTATCTGAAAAGTAATAGAAATTATGGTACATGGAACTACATGGGCCAATATTACACTGCAAAAGTCTAATCTAACAAGTTTAAATTACACGATTTAATACAATTTTATTTTGATTTGAATAAATTCCACTTCACCATAAAAAATATTTACCAGTGAATCTTTGGGGGTATTAAGCAAAATATTTATTTTTTTTAATTTTTTTTAGATTTCTAACATGTAATATGTTATAATATTTGAATCCTCGTTACAGTTAGGTGTACAAGGCTCCGCCCACAAGTCTACATCACATTCTCCATAAATATACAAAAAACATGATGCAAAACTGTACAGCAACGTCACAAACCTGATGCGATGTGCAGTCATTTCAATAAACGGCATGATAGCGCTCTGAAGGGGGAGCGAGTTAACGCCGGGAGCAAAAGGAGTATGTTGTTTTTGGAGAGTAATAGCATTTTCAAAACAATAAAAGATTACACGGTGATCAAAATATGTCATGTTTTAGCAGTTAATACCCCACAGAACTGTAATACACTCTCTTTAAAATCCAAAAATACTTCATAAATACTTACTTAGATAAGACTGTTCGCAGTGTAGTAACCGGCGACACAAACTATGAACTTTTAACTTCTTTACTTTTAGATATTGGCGTGTTTTACCCTTGTTGTGACAATGGCTATTTATTATTGTGTAAGAAGAAAGTTTAAGGAAAAAAAAAACTGCATTTCTCGTATAGCTTCATTAATACCATCTCAAACCATTACGTCACTTTTACTACTAACCCGTAACTCGCTTTGCAAAAAAACCGACACAACAACACGACGAAAAGACCTGCTTACACACACAACACAACATTAGATTTGCTTTGTTTTTCTCTGCTTTATAAAACCGGGGTCTTATTTAAAGCCGCACCGTGTAACTTTTGTTCCGGGAGGGCTTGCCGCTTGCTCGTTACCATGGAGATGATACCGCTTTGCCTCGAGTGTTCCGTACTGTGACATTAGACGTACTCTTATCTTACATTTTATTGCGTATCGGTTCAACGAAAAAAAAACAGGGTGACATCTTTGCCTGTTGCCATGGGAACAGATACGCTTAATGTCACGCCGCGGAACATACCGGGGCAACGCGAGGACCCTCCAGCACAAAAGTTCCACAGCGCGGCTTTACAAGTACGGATAGTTGAACAGTGAACCAACGCGGCGAAAAAATAATGCACGAAAGCGTTACCAAGGTTACCAGATGCGACGCGTTAGGGAACCGTTCGTCTCCGCGAACGTTCCGCAGCGGGGCGTTTGAACTCCACGTTAACCCGTCGGCGTCGGAAGTGAAGTTACGGGTCAGATCTGCGGAGAGGCGAGCGCACCCACGGATCTTTTTCGAATCTTTTTATTTTTGAGAAACGGCCGTAACGGAATAAACGCGAGACGGGTCGTTCGAGTGCCACGCCGCGGGACGTTGTCGCAAAAAAAAAAACATCGCCGCGGAGACGGACAGAGAAGCTACGCGGCGAGTCTTTCACCAGTAACTTCGCAGCTTTGGTTCACTGTTCGATTTTCCGACGCAAAATGCCATAAAATTCGACGTGTTTCTCAGTTTTGTCCGATAACAATCCTGACCGGAATCTGACCTCCTGGCTTTGAATGGTGCTCTTTTGTACACTCTCTTCTTTGTAATTTTGTGCTTCTACAGAAGGTTTGTTTGGGTCCAGACACGGGGACGATAATGGAGGTATTTATGTTGTATTGTTTGTAATGTTGTTTCTTTTATACAGATGTGTCAAACCCGGAGCTGACAGGTCCAAATGAAGTGTTGTTCAAGTGTATGAACTGTTCCTGAATAAAAGACTTGCAACTTATGGATTCAGGTCGATTTCTTTTTACTAAAACCCACACATTTCTGTTGTTTATATGTATTTTCCTGTTTTCACATTTTGGGTTATATCTCTTTTTTTTTTTTTTCGGTAATTCCACTCATTGCTGGACACTAAATCAGGTCTAAAACCAGGTCCAAACTAGGTCTAAACCAGGTCTAAACCAGGTCTAAACCAGGTCCAAACCAGGTCTAAACCAGGTCCAAACCAGGTCTAAACCAGGACTAAACCAGGTCTAAACCAGGTCTAAAACCAGGTCTAAACCAGGTCCAAACCAGGTCTAAACCAGGTCTAAACCAGGTCTAAACCAGGACTAAACCAGGTCTAAACCAGGTCCAAACCAGGACTAAACCAGGACTAAACCAGGACTAAACCAGGACTAAACCAGGTCTAAACCAGGTCCAAACCAGGTCTAAACCAGGTCTAAACCAGGTCTAAACCAGGTCCAAACCAGGTCTAAACCAGGACTAAACCAGGACTAAACCAGGTCTAAACCAGGTCTAAACCAGGTCCAAACCAGGTCTAAACCAGGACTAAACCAGGACTAAACCAGGTCTAAACCAGGTCTAAACCAGGTCCAAACCAGGTCTAAACCAGGTCTAAACCAGGTCCAAACCAGGTCTAAACCAGGTCCAAACCAGGTCTAAACCAGGACTAAACCAGGACTAAACCAGGTCTAAACCCAGGTCCAAACATGGTTTATATTACGCCATTTTCTGAGCTGTTATGACGTTGTTTAGTCGTCACAAACAGACCTGGAGTTGTGTTTGGTTTCATTCACACATGTTTAACACACAAACTCTGAACATTTAGTTTTTCTCTAGAACTGAAAAGGTCCAGGAAGTGCTCCAGTGTGTTTTTAAACTCCATACACCTTCACTACAATCATTTGGACAATTTCAGCTCTGGAACTGCCGATCTCTACTGAACAAAGGTAAAAGGTATTGAAAACTACCACTTCATGACATCACAAGGTGGAACAGTTT